AATAACACAGTTTTAGCACGCTCGGCATATCGGTGTTCACATTGATATTATCATAATAGAACCAGGCTATTCGACGCTGGCCGGGAATTTTCAAGATAACTGGTATAACTAAAATAAATACGCGCTTTCATATTCTATGCATAGTGCAGTAAAAACAAAAACACGTGTTCACAGTTACGCCACTGCCGCATAAATATGCCAGCTTCACGACGTAAAATCCTCTAGGTTAAAGGCCTATAACCTCTCAATGTTCATCTGGTTGAGTTCCGGGGCTGCTCAAGATTACGACCGTGTGACCCGGTATTCCGCAATATTTATATGTTTTCGAATAAGTCAAATATGTAATGCAAGACAACGTCGTGGTAATGGCGCCATCCTAATCCTACGAAAGGTCCCCAATAGAGAACATCGGTCTCCTGGTACCTCTGCTTACTGTAGGCAATTTAAATGTATGTCTCAGTGATGCAAATCTAGAATACACTTTACTCTTGCCAAAGTAGTTCTCACAAACAAAACATAACGGCGTTGAGAATCCCTCCACAGGCCAGTTTACGTTAAATACATTAAGTATATCCGATAGGAATCGGCGTGCAATGTATCTAAGATATTCGATATGTGCCACGATGATTCGTGTACTTACGGCGCAGAAGTAAAGAATAAAAGTGAGAAACCGGATGCTCCGAATGTTCTCCATGGCGAACGGTGATACAGAGCGGAACCGGGACTTAAGCCCAGAAACACCAGTCGTCGCTTCTTCTGCCTTTCTCGTGCTCGACTGGCACGGGCCACGAGGTATATGGTAGTGCCGCTGTAGCTAACACAGTTCATGATGACGATGATGCTCCTTAGATGATTGGCACCTACCCACTCGCGTGGATAGGTCAAGAGTCGGGTGGATCATACAGACTGCATTTATTTTTACTTTTGTAAGTGCTAATAGAGGTAACGGATGCAATTGTAAGAAAAGTGTTAATTACGATAAATCTTAGTTTTAGCTTACACTATTTTGCGGAACCTCCCAATGACCAAAGATCTTTGTACTAGGATGACATAACGTAGAATTATTAGCGGTCGATTCCACTAGTAAATATACTTGAGTCGCATACGAATTTTCCACAGAATTGAGCATATTCCTATCACCTACAGCAGCTTTTTTCTGGCCCCTGTCAATTTATAACAATTTTTACCATGGAAGTAAACAAGCAATACAACGCTATACAAAAACTATCTATTGCTTAAGATTTTGATATTATGAGCAAATTCTTTTATATAGCAAGGCACCACTCGTTTCACGGCCGATCCCCCATGATAGGTTGCGCCAGGTTAAAATGAGCTAATCAGTTGGTCGGTCGCGTCGGGTCGGGTCGGGTCGGTCGGTCGGTCAGCCAGCCAGCCAGTCAGTCAGTGCGAAGTGCCGAGTGCATTAGGGGTTCGGGGTATTCTACGCTGTCCTATGCTGCGATCGCTTGGCATGACGCACACAAAATAACGTATAGCATAGCCATCTGCAGCATATCGAGCGTGCTCTTGCGCCAACAAGAGTTTTGCATGTTGGTCTGTTTTTCACGTGGCTCATAAATAACGTGGACATGTCTGTAAAAACTTTTATCTTATTTATTGACTTGAATTCTCGAAGAGCACACACCGACCACAATGTCGCAGTTGAAGAGCGCCAAGTCGATGTCCTTGGTCGCCGATGCAGGCGCTTCACGTGGGATAACCACTGTAGAATATTACTATTCATAACTAACAACCACGCGCAGGATTGCACTGCAGCTGCTTTGAAATCCTGATTTTACTGTACTAAGACAGGAGAGGTCATCAGCTTTCATTAATAATGGCGACTTCGGCAGCGTGATTATAACTATGGAGATAAAATTGTACGTTCGTAGAAGGTCAGACTTAATGTCAGAATTCAGTGGAGATGACGCAACGGCCAGCACAACAGCCCCAACGTCATTCAGCACACCGCAGATGACCGCATTAGACTCGCAACCTTGGAGATCATGCGAATGTTCCGCGTACTCTGGGTAATGTGCGATTTCTGGCGAGTGATAAATGCATTTCTTAGACGGGCTGTGTCAAGGAGGCGTTGGTCAGGCATCCGGCGTTGTACGCAGCGTCCGCGACGGTGTCCCCACACCACCCGGTGTTCTCTCTCCACTCTCACTCCCTCTACCATAGCAAGCGCTGCGGACGCGCGCGCTTTTCGTCGCCCCTAGCAACTAGAGCACGTGGTGCGAGAGAGTGTAGGAAAGGGTAGGTGCTGTGCTTCGTCGCTTCTTCTCTCGCCATTCACTCTCCTCCTAGCGCTCCATTTTCCCGCACGCTCGCGCCTCACTCACAACTGTTCACTGGCTGGGCGCCTCTCAAGAACATCCGGAAATAGAGAGTTTTAGTACTGCGTACGCTGCGTACGTGGCGGCGTTGCGTACGTAAGGACGCCACGTTCTGCGTAGTGCGCATGCGCAGACCGCAACGCGCACGTATCGCATTACGTACGCAGCCGCTACGTACGCACGCATGAGATGCGTGCGTGTGTACGTACGAGGTGATCGCGCCGCTCTCGAACAAGTTCGCGACAGCGCGAGACTTTGTTTTGCAAAATGGTGGCATCGAAGGCAAGCACCGACCGGCTCTGTGGCTTCAAATATGGCCATAATCTGGCTATAACACTTGGATTGGCTCACATTGGCTGTCAACAACACGCGCTTCTATTTTGATCTACCAGATGGCACAACACGCTTCACGCTCGTTACGTACGCGGGTACTACGGCGTACTAAAAGCCGATTAGTGGCAAACGACGCCACGTAACGCAAGGCTCTTGCGTGGTGCGTACGTAGCACCATTCCGCAGTACTAAACTCTCTAATATTTGCTCGAGACATCGCTGTGAAACGCCAACGCCGAGCCAAAAACTCTGTTTTGTTCACTTCATAGTATTATTTACCGTGCACGCTAGCAGTTAGAGCTGGAAACGCATACCGCGTTTCTCGCGACAGAAAACCGCCATTTGTGGCGAACGGCACTATTGGCTGCACGGTGTTAACAAAAATAAAACGTTATTCTTCTAACATTGGGTTCCGACGTGCGAAACGCAGTTATGGACGCTACGCAATGCATTCGCATTTCCTCACGATTGGCTTCGAGGAGGTAGGGCATTTTTTTTTCATATTCAGTGACCTATATAGTCGGTGACAACCTAAGAATGATAATCAAAACACAAATAAAAAAACAAGCACCACCTTAAAAACTGCGGGCCATCAGCCATTCATCTGTGCGAGAAAGTTGCTACGTGACTTCCGTTGCAGCCATAAATACTTTTTGAAATAATACGCCCAATAATAATTAAAAGTTCAACGTCCTTACTTGAAGAGCTGTGTATGGCAGATAGTGATGTCGAAATCTTTGCGGAAATCGCGAAGGAAGTCGGCGTTTTTTTTTAAACCTATAACCAGTGGCACCTACTTGTGTCTTAATAAGGAAACTACCGATGTAAAATGCGCGAACGGTACTTGGCGTCACACAAATTAACACATGTGATTTGATGCCAATTTTCTCGGGGTGGCAAAGGTGTGGCTGTAGGTGGAGCTTATATTTATTCTTAGGTTGTAACCGACTATAGAAGTAGAATTTCATGAATAGTTAGAACTTTATACAATAGTTCTCTTTTTTCTAGTTCCTGTTTCATTGCACCGAGTCTGGTACACGCAATTGCACCACTGGGTTACATTTCAGTTGGTTCTGGTAGAGAACCTCACCAAGCGTTTTCTCGAACTTCGTTAAATCGCTGGAAGCCGCAAAACAGCGTCAGAGGAGCGCTTTACAGAAACAATTCACCGAAGCAGTTCATTATTAAAAATTTGAGAAAAAGTGAAATTGTCCTGTTACAATGCTTCCAAATAAGACGAGCACTATTGCCCGAGGGCTTGGGCTGGTGCCCGTAAGCGGCAAAGTTACTCAGAATTGTCCCAACAGCCGCAGGACAGAAAGCGCGTCACGTTGACATGACGAGTCCCAGTTATTTTTTTTCTTCCTTTTCTACTTATTGTGCTTCTATATAGACGTATATGCGCTGGAGAAAACGCGCGGTGTGCTTTGGGTGAATAATCGCAGTCACCTGCTACGTTTTAATTACCTGTCTGAGGGAAGGACGGGCAAACGCGGCACCTTAAAAGGAACCCTGAAACGGTTTTGACGATTTGTTTTTACAAACACATTGGGCCGGTAGACCAAGTCCCAAGGGTAATTTAGAGACCGATTTGAGCTCTCTGCGTAAACTGTGTAATTTCTCACAACGCGTTAAAGCTGCGAATCGCTCCAGATCGCCGCGACTCGGCCAAACGCGTTTTCAACCGCCCGTACACCAAGCGACACGCTTTGCCCCACTGACGTCATCGTTTCCAGCTGATCTGATTGGCTGTGGAACGCTGTGGTATCGGATCGGCGGCGGGATTTACGCGTATGCGGTCTCGTGCCACACCGCGACGCAGGCGCCGTGAAGGCGGAGCTAAGCACTCGAAGGAAGAGTTGAGGGCAGTTGAGGGTGAAAAGCGGAGCGGAGGAGGAGGATACCTTTCCAGTACACGTAGCTCCGTTAATAATGGGTGTTTCGATTGGACTCTGATGCCAATGATTTGCTCCAGTAGTGGTCTAATCAAAAACGGAATGAGCAAAAAAATCGTTTCAGGTAAGCCATTTGTGAACGTTCTAATGTGACGCATACACCCGCAGATTCCCCCTTTCACCGAATGTCACCAAAGTAAAGGTGCGCGGCCCACTGTTTTGAATGTCAATCATTTTCGCGCTATACACGTGTTTCATTATTCGCATACGTGATTACCAATTACAGAGAAAGAAAGTTCATCATTCATAATGTCTGTAGTTTTACGTCCGAAAACCACGAGATGGTCACGAGAGACGCCGCAGTGCAGGGCTTCGGAAATTTCGACAATGTGGTGTTCCTTAACGTTCACCCACATGACACCGAACACGGGCATCTACCATTTCTCCTCCATCGAATTGCGACAGCCGCGGCCGACATCGAACCCGCAACCTTCAGGCCAGCAGACGAGCGCTGCAGCCCCTGTTCCACCGAGGGGAACAACAGCTCTCAGAATGATCAGTCAGCGTATTTCTGTCTGATATCCCGCAGGGAGAGACATAGGAACGAAAAAAAAAGGCTCTATTAAAATGTGGGCAGAAAGATGTGTAAAACAAAGTAATTAAATGTAGGTCTTGTTATAGCTATCCTAGACGATGAATGTACGTAGTCTCGGCAGTTAACATAAAATAGGAAAATGAAAATAAAATAGGAATGAAACACTTCTAAGCACAACAGATACCTATTCGGTCATCATTGATCTACGCGCCACGCTTTTCTCTTAGAAATGCTGAAACACGGTAGTGGCATTTTAAATACCTTTGACCCGTGCCCAATTATAGCGCGGACAGTTTTTTTTTACCTTTAAGTTTGTTCCCGATATTATACGAGTTCTTATATGAGTAATTACGATTATCATCATGGCGTCGAAACTAAGTAGTCCTACTGCTAATATAAGAGCTCTAAAACATTCCGAAGGCGTCTTCGAGTCGTCGTATGCTTGTGACGACGTCTTGTACGATTCATTCAGCGATTAGGTGAACGGTCCCGCTGTTCACGTGGTCGTCCAGCTGCGCGTTCATTCGATGTGATAGGGAGTTTCCAGATCCCACTCGTAGTCGCCGCAGTAGCCATTCAAGATTGGCTGCGTCGGTATGCCACGCCTGCACAAGAAATACATGCAGTGAGGTACTGCATTAAAGAAAATGAATATTATGAACTCGCATTTTTTGTTTGTCTGCTAGGCACAACGTCAATGAGAACTAACAAAAAATCAAGCCAAGAAAAGTATAGGAGACGTCATTTGCAATAATTGCGATATAAGTGTGCAGAAATCACAGTAGACGAAAAGACACCGTAGCAGCCGGCAGAAACCGAACCCGCGACCTTCGAATAACACGCGAGATTCTCCACTAATTGAGTTATAGCGAAGTGACTCCGTCTACTTTATTGGGTATTTCTGCCCATTTCAGCATGGGTGTGTTAGCCAGCGCCACTCGTAGCCATGACGGTGAGTGTGGAACGCTCTGATTTTGCCTGTCGATGTGACATAGCACGTGATATTTTTACGAGCTGGCAAGCCGAGATTTGGTTTGATATGTGGGGTTTAACGTCCCAAAATTATCAAATAGTTATGAGAGACGCCATAGTGGAGGGCTCCGAAAATTTTGACCACCTGGGGTTCTTTTCTTTAACGTGCACCCAAATCTGAGCACTCAGGCTACCAGCATTTTCGCCTCCATCGAAAATGCAGCCGGGATTCGATTACTGGCAAGCCGAGAGTACGGTATGACTGAGGATGGTATTGAAGTAGACGAACGCGGAAAGCAGTCACGTTCGCAATTGTGCACATATTGAGAGCAGCGGCAGGGGTGTAAAGAGAATTTCTTTTTTAAGGGGGGGGGGGGGGCTTATTGAAATGGTCCTTTTCCTCTCTGTATGTCATGGCTTTCGGGGGCGGGGGGAGCATGGCCCTGGTGTGTCATCGCCTAGCTACGCCACTAAGTAGCGGTGACACTGGTACCCGCTATCAATAGTTAACAAGTGACTGGCTCAACCGGATCGGTTTTTCTGAGCATAAAAGACAAATTAATTTTTTTTTAAATAATGGACTCTCAATACTTGAATCCCGCAGCCATGTGTTTGCTTGTGAATAAATATCGTCACTCAGCCTGTGGCTACAATATCTGAAAGGGCCAGAGTGAACCTGGCAAATAGTTTTCGAAAATGAACTTCTAAGCAAAGATTATAAAGTGTATATATATAGGTAATTCTACGTCTCCACGCTCGATCTCGGGGCATACGCATCCCAAGCTTGTTTTAGCACATACTTTGCTCACGGCGTCAGAGAAAGTTGCCGATGCCTTGCATCAAGCCACTGTTCCCGCGGTTGTTTCTCATCGACCCGTAAGCGACGCAAGACCTTGGACAAATCTTGAGAGGGCGTGCACATGCACCTCACACATTTACCGAGCTCTCGTCTTTATTAGGCACGCCCACACATAAGAAACGTGACTTCAAAGTACATTCATGGTTTTCCGCCCATGAACATTGTTTAGGTTGTCATCAAGGACTTATGAAAACCAGGATTTGAGGGACTCTATACTGGTAGGAAAGAAGCACTGTAAAAAGGAATAAGCGGTGACCACAACAAGAACACTCTAAAACAACCGAGACGTTTCGACACCCACACGGGAGCCTGGTTTATAACGAAATTGGAAAAGTGACTTGAAGGGCTCGAAAGCCACGTTACGCGAATTCAGGACTTGAAGGGACTCTACTCAATGTGGTACACCACTGCGCGATTCAGTCGTCTATGATTGCATAATCTCAATGAACGGGTAAAGGCGAACAAAGTAAAGCTCGTGCGTTCAACAGAATCTGAAAAGTAATCTCTAAGGAACTACAATCAGCAGAGTATATGGAAAGTATCGGTCTAGCTCCCACAACGTTCGATAAGTGACATTGTACGGCTTATACAGCGAGGTCACGTTGATTTCGGATTAGACAGAATGTGATCGATTACGATCCATTGTTGGCGGCAACAGAGTTGGTGCATACTCGGTGCTGCCCGGGTAACTGACCTAAGCATGCGGCAACGTTGTTGGTCCAGCCTAAAACTGGCGTCGTCCACGTCGTTTATATCCGCACTGCTCCAGAGACGCTCCGCAACGGCAGAAGCGCGTGGCCTGCGATGTACGGATAAAAAAAGCATGGGTAGATTTAAGATAACAGCCATCACCAGCAGCTGTGTGTGCGTGCATGCGTGTATGTATGTATGCATGTATGCATGCATGCATGCATGTATGCATGTATGCATGTATGCATGCATGTATGCATGTATGCATGTATGCATGTATGCATGTATGCATGTATGCATGTATGCATGTATGTATACACAGACACAGAGAGAATGATTAATTCATCCCCCCCTCAACTACAGAGTAAGTGAAATAAAAACCGGAAACACAGTAAAGAAGCTACAAGTACTCCAACTACAAGTACTCCGACTACAAGTACTACAAGTACTACAAGTACTCCAACTACATATTGAAACGCGTTCACAAGTGCAAACTAACATATATTGTAATGACATTCGTTTTCTGTGTAATAACGTAGTAGCCAAGTATTGGCATTTAAGTTGTATCGGCGGCGAAAATTATAATAAGGGACATTGTGCTATGCACTACAAAGCCAGACATGGGGAAGGAAGCACGGTTTTAATAAGGAAATATTGTTCTTTGGCAGTCTGCACCAATGTTTTTTTTTTTCGTATTTCACTTTCTTAGTTTTAGGAAGAGGCAAGTCTCCAACGGCGCCATGTAACCACGACTCTTTACTATTCGGGCACTGCGCCGTGCTCCCGACCGGGTTGCAGAAATTAGGTGCCTTTTCTCATCTTTTAACCACTACCACCACTCTTTACTATATATATAGAGAAATACTCTACGCATCTTCTATTTACAAGCTTACCAGAGCCTGGGGATCAGGTTGGTGCCGTCCACATATTCGCCCCACATGCAAGCTTCTCCACCGACAACTAAATCCTTCTCAGCTTCGGTGCCTGCAAACAAAATGAAGATGTCAGTATACTTCAGGCGTCGCTGGCTTCACATCCGATATAAGCTTATAAATGCAAGCCGATTTACTTCAGGTGTTTTCTTTTTCTTTTTTTTTACTGAACAGAACTTTTTTGTTCACAGTCGTGACCTTTTGACATTGCTTGCATAACAAATGTAAAAAGAAAAGTGATTGATGTCATAAATTTCACTTACGTTAACGGGTTAGCTAGCAAGTCTTGTAAGCTCCTGGAACGAATTCCGAAATTGCACCAGTCTCAACTGCAGGTGTTATCAAACTTTCATTCAAAGATGCAGTGCTATGCGACGTTCTTTCATCAAGATGTCGTTTGAATATGGCTGAAATGTCGATGCAATTCATTCCAAATTTAAAGAACGAATATCTCGAAACAAGTATATTTCCGAAAATTCTCGCCAAGTGAACACGCCTTACGAACCCGCCAGTTCAACAGAATTCGCAATTGCTTGGAATGAACTTCAAGCGTAAAGAAACAACAATAACGGTGGTACGGAATTTGCTTGCTTTTTGTGAGCTATGCATCTACGTTTAAAGTGCAATAGCATTGTTTCAAGTAATCATCGAATGACTTCAATAAAGGAGTTTATTACCTCGCGAATATACTGCCGCAAACATTTTTAGAATCCGTCAAGCAGGAACAGAGTTACAGGAATTTGCCACACATTTCGAGGGCTTTCTCTCTCTTTTCGTACCAGGAAACTTGCTGATAGCTTCGCAAGGGGTATTACAAGAAGGCAAGAAGCAACGCCCGTTTATCGGCACACGCCAAGACCGAGTACTTGCTTTGCACTTTCTTTTTCTTTTTTTTTCTTCTTCGAAATCGCGGTTTGCTATCAGCGTGAGTGTGACAGTGGGCTCGTGGCGACATCCTGTGGCGGCAGCGGTAACTAGGCAGCTTGCGATGCTCAAGTCAGCCAATGGCCATCGAGCATGGGTTTATGGCGTGGTTATAGCATGGTCATTTGGGTTTATGTCATCATTTGTCGAGAGTAGATTTAGAGATGTCTGGCTGACTTGGTGAATTAATTGTAATTTCCAGGCAAGGTGCGGTGCTACAATAATTGGCTAACGTGTTTTCAAGAGCCTCGACTGCCGATCGGCAGTGCTTTCTGGCTGTGCTGAAAAAAAAGTATTGCGGAGTCCATTTAAGATATAAGCACACTCGCACTCCCGGCCAAATAAGCTCACTTCCAGTGACCGAACACCAACGATTGGAAACCAGCATGGCACGACGGCTGTCGTGACGGCATTAATAGGTGGTTTGTCGCGCACCGTATAGGGAAGTGATTGCCAGTTCGACGCTCTTTATCTGAAGCGCCTTGTGTACAGTTTACCCTTGAAAATGTTGGGGACCAGGACCAGAGCCTGCGTGAAGCCACCCACGCACGGCACACTTTCAATCGCGATCGAGCCCGGTCGGGGTCCAATTTCACAGTCACCATTGGCTCCATGTCGCAGCATGCGCGAAGAAGCCAATTACTGTTACAGAAATTTCATGCTAATGGATCTCGATCATGATCGAAAACGCATTAGTGTGAAACCGCTTATACAAAGTTGTGCGTCTAGTCGTGGGGCTCCAACTGCATGCAACCTTGTGGATGCCCTACTCGTAGGGGTGCGTTGGACGACCAACCTAGCCGAGTTTAAAGCAGGTGTTATCAGCTTAACGCGCGTACAACATTCGGTGCAAGATAGTTCCTGCACTCTGTTCACGAAAAGATGCGATACATGTGGACGGGAATCAAGCCCTTGACTTCGTGCTCATACTGTTTATGTACATATATTTATAAAAGGAAAAACGGGCCTCAGGGGCTCTTTTTTCCTTTCAGAACACGTTATGTTTTACTCTACGCACACACCTTCGAAACTGCGTGGGTCGCACTGGTAGAACTTTTTCCAGTCTTGTCCGTAGCTGATGTAATTGAGATACCAGCAGGCAGACAGCACCATCTGGTAGCCCTTGCGCGCGATGGGCTTGATGTAGTCCTGCCAGCGCTTCATTTTGGTGTCCAGCGAGGTGTCTTTCCACACGACAACCAGGGTGTCATCCTCCGCCTGCAGTATCAGGTGTAGACCGCTCACGGATGTGTGAACACCCGAAAACTTTGCACTCAAGTATCATTAGAAAACCATGCTTGGCGCTGAAATATTTCGACCACCATCATCGACGGAAGGTGGAACGAGACGCGAGTTACTCCCTTATTTCTCCCGCCTCACCCCATAGAAACTACTAGGTCAACTCTAATTAAAGGTCATTCATTCATAGGTAAAGTCGTAGTTCATGTGTTTTTCTCCGAGTTCGCTTTGGTTGAGAAAATATAATTATGAACTAACATCACTGCGGTAATATTCGTTTCTCTTTCATTTCACACAGCGAAAATTCATGGCAAATTACATACCATTTTTCGTACGTGGTTGCAGCAATTAAAATCACATGACGTCCGGACCATACACACACACACACACACACACATATATATATATATATATATATATATATATATATATATATATATATATATATATATATATATATATATATATATATACACGCTATGTGGCCCGCAAGTTCTCAACCTACGCTAGTATTTGCTTTATATTTGCGCCCTGAAGCTTTGGGAGCCATGCATCACCATTTAGCACTCTTTTTCAGTGGTACTCTTTAATAATAAGAAACAAGGCACCGCTCAGCAGGCGTACGTGACTAAACAGCTAATCTCTGTATTAAAGACAAAACGTGCCTGATGAGTCGGACCCAGCGTGAAATGACACAAATCGATAACACCTTTCGCCATTTGCTATTTGGACAGTATTCGAGTAGCAAGCAAGCGCTCGTATTGAAGTGGGCAGTCGCTTCTGCCTGGATGCTGACATGTTGATTTGTAACAGCAGTTATACTGGCGGGGTTACTGATACAGCACTTGGAGGCATACCACGTAAATTTGGAGTAGAATAACCATTGCCGCGTATAGTTGTGGAGTGTTACGAACCAAACAAACGCAAATGTCTCAACCTTATCAGCCTTTAGGCAATTACACATATCTAAAGATTTATATGTGTTTTTCTGCCTAAGCATGTTACTTGTTGCGACCTGCTTGTGTGACAGGGCCACGGCCGCTTCACTGGCTCAAGGCCACACACGATCAAGCTGACCAAAAATGGCCACGCCCGTTCGCCGCTGTGGAAAGTCCTCTGTAGATTAATTACAAAGGCAATGTTTATGTCAATCCACGTGTTTCATTTATTCTACGCAGTACACAGCCATTTCTGGAAACCAGAGCTTATACGAGATATTGGAATGACACTTTACCACAAAACTTCGTTGGAAATAATGCAACAGCGCTGTCTAGCAGCGATTCGAAGAAGCCCCGCTGAAGTTTATTTTTGCATTTTACAACGAAGATGCATAAGGCTGGGAGCTGGGGAAATGTGGTGGTTCGCGAGTGTGCAAAAACTAAAGCAGCAATGGCAGAGCTCTGGCATTGCTGGCATAGCCTACATCGAAGGGTCTCCAGGCTGGCGCTAGTTTCTCGTCGAGGCTTGTCAGCATAACTATAGGACGATATTCGCCACAGCATGGATTGCTACTCTCGAAACCTCTTGGACGTTCTCAATAACCTTTAAGCTGATGTCACCAAGGCAAGGTGTTGAATCTGTTGAATGAGGCAATAGAAAAATAAATAGGTACAACGGAATATACGTATACATAGATCCCAGCTCGTGCTAACTTAACCACCGAGGCAGCACGTTTCAGCATCGCTGGAAAAGTGATCACTTTTTTTTCTTTATAGTCGACGTGCAAGCGCCTTTCAAACGCGTAAAAGTTGCGCGAAAGTTTTTCACATAACTTCGCACGAAGGAACAACTTCCAAGGGTGCACTTACTTCAACGTCATTATCAATGGGGTCCTGCCAAATCATGTACTTGGCTCCGAGATTGTGGACGTTGGCCAGCGTTCGCTTGACGTAGTACTGCTCCACCTGGTTGACCTCAGAAAAACCTTGCTTCCGCATGAACTTGGCGATCTCGGGGCTTGACTCCCTGCGAATCGATGTTGGTGACAACGGCTTACCGCGTCAGCTTCGACCTACTTACCGTATAGTGTGAATGTAAGGAACGAGATGATAAAGTATACCCGAGCTACGTTGTCGGTTAAAACAAGGACAACGCTTTACAGAAAGCGAGTGCCATGTAAGAAGCAAAAAAGAAAAAAAGAACATATTTTACGTTTTTAAAGTGAAGCCTTGAAATTAAGATCATGCTGCAGTCTTTTAGGACGGGTGCTTCGAAGAAAAGAAAATGCCTTTGTTACTATATAGTAATTTTGCTCATATGACTCGCTACTATGCGGTTTTCACCATGATGAGTCAGATCAGTTGCGCAAAATGTGCTGTGAAAGTTACAATGATATTATTCACCTGGATTTTTATGTAGGATATCGAGTGAAATGAGCACATGTGTATACAAGCAAACCATAATAAAGGAAATTATTTTTTCTAGCCTCACAGACGTGCTATTTCTGCAATGTTTTCGGCTATGTATACACGAGAGGGCCATGTTGCGCACTGGTCGCAGAAAACTGCTCAGCCCGGTCGAACCCTTTCTGATGCTGCACATAAATGTTGCGAAACAATTTTGGTATCTTCGTGTTACCGACAGAAAGTAACATGAGTTATATGAAAGAGCTGTAACATGCGGTGCGTATTCTGACTCTCGTTAAAGCGAACATAAGAACATGTAGCGAGAGACGCGAGACGACGTCGTTAAGGTGGTCGACGGGGCCGTGCCAATCTCGCCACTTTATTCGTAGGCTGACGGGAAACGGGGCGGCTGCCAGTGTCCGACACCCCAGGCGCACGATCTCGCTCTGTTGCTCGCGCAGCTCGAGCTAGGCATGAGCTGCACCAGAGTCGCAGCGCGGTGGCTAGAAATGATGATGTTGACGAATGGCGAAAATGACGTTACAGATTACCCTCCCCGCAGAAATAAACCCGACTGAAAACATTGAGAGCGCATATACAAAAGTGTTCAAGTCGAGAAACAAAAGGGTCCGTGAGCAGTCCAGGTCGTCAACGGGGAGGGACTATCGGCAACCAGTGGGTCTCTGGCGGGCGACACTGAGCGGACGGGGAAGAAAGCGCCGGGTCGCTGTGGTGATAGACACGTGCTTCCCACAATGGTGGTGATATCGACTGTTCGAGAGCCCACGAGGTGTCGCAAGCGGACGCGGTCAACAAAGGTACCCACAGGTAGAGCCGCGGGAGGGCACCGAAGAGCCCGCGCCGGCGATGTGGCTGAAATGGTGCGATGCATCAAAGCGGAGACATGACGACCGAGAATTGAAGTGTAACAGCCGTGGCGGCGTCTGCGACCGCGCTCATGGCACCGACATGGCTGTCGACAAGGAGCAGTGGGCCAGTCGTGCTGGTGCGGACGTCGGAGTCGATGGGATACTGAAATCGGCGTTTCATTTCGGGTCGCGTGCCGGCGCAAGTGGTCTAGTCGACGGACGCGCAAGCACCATGCTTGAAGAAGCGCATGATAGGTCACAGTGGGCAGGGTACTTACATTCCTGCTGGGTCGTGTCGCCCTTCAAGGACTTCACAGGTTGATCATGAAACCCAGGAGGCGTGACCTCTGCCAGAGGGTCGGATGGCGTGCCCGTGCTCCTGGGGGCAATGGTGTTTGTCCGCTTTTGAGATTGGTACAGAAGGTGCGGAGTGTTCGGCTATTGATGAAGCTGCCACCTGGTACTTGGTCATTGTAGCAGCATCCCGGAAGTTTCGCGTGGCATGTCACGGGCAGGAACTTCAGCTGCGGGAGACGTTGAGGTAGATGATAGTAACTGCTGGCAAGACGCACAGATTGCCAAAGTCAATGGGTGACGGTCATCAGACATCGTGGACGGTGATGTCTCCGCAATAGTGTGGCGAACAGCGGGCGAAAGAATGTCTGCGCCAAAGTAGATGGGCGACGGTCATCAGACATCGTGGACGATGATGTCTCCGCAATAGTGTGGCGAACAGCGGGCGAAAGAATGTCTGCGCCAAAGTCGATGGGTGACGGTCATCAGACATCGTGGACGGTGATGTCTCCGCAATAGTGTGGCGAACAGCGGGCGAAAGAATGTCTGCGCCAAACTCCGAGGCGTGCGGCAAGGTAGCCGCCATGGTGTCTGGTGGAGCCACGGTGTTGCGTGCCGTCGATGTCACGGAAGACGTACAGTTGTCAGGCACGCGCGACGATCCTTCGTAAGCGGGGGTCAAGGGGATGCACCTCTCAGTGGTGAGGTCAGTCGATGTCGGAGCGTCTTCTACCACGTTGTCGTGGTCAGGTGCAGGATTCGATGTTCGTGCGACCGGATTGGAGGTAGAAGTTGTGGTGGTTGGGTAAATAAGATAGCCGTCATGGGAACCCTGCGGACCGGTTGATACCTTGCCCCACGACGCCGGGGAAACCTGCCAGGCGCGGGTAGAAGGAATCGGGTGGTACGTGTGGCCGTAGCAGGCGATGACCGCAGTTCAGAGGGCCTCACATGGCTGCGGGCTTGTGGTCCATTTGGCAGCAAGATAGCGAACTCGACCGGCAGCGTGTCAAGCAAGATAGTGTGCATAGGCGGCTGGTCTTTGACGCCATTCACAAAGAAAACGGCGTCACAGGCGGGCAGAGTGGCAAAAGCATGGTAGCCGGTAGCTCGTCGAAGGGCGTGTTCTTCGTGTCACCATGCAGTGTAGCGAGAGAGGTAGAGACGTCAGACGACGTCGTAAAGGCAGCTGACGGGGCCGTGCCAATCTTGCCACTGAAGCGAAGCGGTGGCGGCTGCTAGTGTCCGACACGCCAGACACAAGATCTCGTTCTGTTTGCCGCTCGAGATAGGCATGAGTTGCGCAAGAGTCGTGGCGCAGTGGCTTGAAATGGTGATGAATGGCGAAGATGATGACACTACAGAATGAATTATTGTTTATGAAAAAGAACAGAGGCTAAAAGTGCATTTGTTATGAACGCCCTTTACTTTCGCAGGTAGGAGAGTCCAGCCCTACTAGGATTCAAGAAAAGTAAATCACAGATAAAAATAATGGCTGACATTACTGGCAAACATACAAGGGACCCATAGCAACTGTGATTTCTCGATGGAAAGATAGCATCTACGTATTTATGAGTGCCATGCATGTTGCGCGTGCGAATTCTCGGCAAATCATGCCAGCACGACAAATCTGAACTGATATCTTTCGCACATGGAACAGCTCGACAGCTTATACCAGTGACGTCACGTGCGTCGCTGAGTTGACGTCATTTTCTATTACACGAAGGCGCGAGGACCCAACGAAGAATAACGCGATAGTTTTCAGAATTGTGAAAATCGGGGTAGCAGTCTCGCGACTCAGGAGGCGTGTAAATCAATGTAACGTTTGTGCACCATGGTGTGTTGTAACTGTTCATAGGTAACGTGCTGCCCTCTGTTGAGATCTTATAAGCGCCTATTAGCATGATAGCCGTGCTTGCTGTACTGACCAGCACGAGTAGTAGACCTCGTCCATTCCCAGGTGAATGTACTCGTCCTTGAAGGTTTCGATGACTTCCCGAAAAATATTTCTCATGACGTCGTACGTGTAGTCTTGCATCGGGTCCAGCATCTCGAAGGCCGCGTGATTTGGATAGTCAGCTTTTCCACGGGTGCCGTTGAAGTAGCATGCCGTGAGAATATCTGGAAATGGCAGAATTGAAAGTACATATTCATTTGTGTAATACTAATGCATAATGCGTGAAGGCTGATGAGAAGAGGCAGCGCATTGATAGCTCCTTAGTTCATATGTGAAGTTCTTGCTATACCATGTGTTCATAATTTTCTCGTACAATCTATGTTTGCACTTCCCGCAGACTTCAACGCAAATATTATGAAGTGTTGCTGTTATACTGTACAGATATGCATCGCAAGGTAACTGTCACTTATTCCGTAACTAATTTACTATCAGACATACACTTGATAAATTACTTATTATTCGGAAGTGGTGCCGTGAGGTTCTAAAATCTGAACCAAATTGTTTGGCCACCGCCGATGAACCGAATAGGAGCGTGGACTTGGCGGTACATTTGCATTGGTGTTGTGTTATCCCTTGTACTAACAAGTTGCGAAAACACCATTTAGGTTTTTGAAAAAAAAAACACGTTTCGTTTGACTTACGACCACATAGTCGGGATATTTTCAAAAGTACAGTGATTAGCCCGAATCATCCGAGTACCTGGACTTAGAATGGGAAAAAAAAAATGACACCTTTTGCCACAAAATGTGGCTCGAGTGAAGAGGGAAGGGGGGAATGAAAGGTAACGTTACTAGTCTGGAAGTCAAGAGTCCAGCTTATACAGACGCACCACCACCCACCCCCCTTGTTCCTAGCTCTCCATTATTTCCTGTTGTTTTTCACAAATGCGCGATCGACTCTTCCAGCCAATGTACGCGAAGATCGGAACTCCAATTGCGCGACGCGTTAATGCTTTGAAAGAGACTTTTGCTTCATCGTAGCTGAACCATGTGAATCGTTTTCTGTCGTGGTCCTCTCAGCGTGTAGGTGGCATCGCCTCATTTAAATATATAGTTATGGTGGCAGGCGACCTTTACTCTCACAATTAAAGGCCTGACTACTGACAAACTTCAACAGCGTTTACGTTCAGGCAGGTCAGAGAGGTTAGCGCCAGACACGGCGGTAGGCCACATAAAGGAGGTCCAAACAGTACTGTACTTACCAGGGAATACCTTTCCCAGTGCTTGCGTATGTCCTGGAGTGTCGATCTCGGGTATAACGCGGATTCCGCGCAATCGAGCGTACTCGATGATGTCCTGGACGTCCTTTCGACTGTAGACGTGCCTCGGAGAGAATGCACTCTGCATATACCAGAAGAGGCATGCGTTAGTCCATTTCTGCGAATCGTGTTCCATACGCAAAGATATATGGCTGCAGTCTTTAAAAAAACTGCAGGATCAGTACATGAGTTATTTCGCTCTTCTGCCACCAAACAGTAAATTTCAAACTCAGGATGAAGGGACACCTGAGACGACGGACGTGGCATGACGACCCATGATGGCCCAACAGAATGAAGCCAGGGAAGGGCTGCACGTACGCGGTAAAACTGTCTTTCAAGCTCTCAAGTGCTGTTAAGAGAGAACTAAAGCTAAGCCAGTATCAGCCAATGAAAATTAGCCCGAATGAGCACCTGCGTCAAGTTGGGGTACGTCGCCATTTCCAGAGGCCACGACTGGTCGTCAACGAGGTGCCAGTGGAAGACGTTGAACTTGTTGTAGGCCATGGCGTCCTGCAATCGAAACAAAAAATGAAGGTAGCGTGCATACCAAGAGCTAATTAATGAATCTCTAAACACCTTATCGATATGCTTGTAACAGAGGGCAAGACATACAATGTATAAAGTACAGACGCCGACACAGTCGATTATAAGGTTGTTGCCACCTTCCGGTGCAACCCGTCCAGCTATCGAAAACCGCTATGAAATATCTAAGAAATTATGTCATGTACGTACCAAGTTTTGCTTGAGAAGCTTCAGAGGTTGAAAGTGCCGTGATGAGTCGAGAAGCAGACCTCTGTAGGAAAATCTGGGATAATCGTCGATCATGGTGACGTTGACTAGAAACTGGGAATGAAGAGAAATCGAAGAAAATTTTAAAAATATCGTTGAAATGGAATAATAATTTATTTGTTCCACATAAAGAAGCGTAGGTATCCGATCCCAAATTACGAGATAAGTTTTGTTAAAGGCGTTTCATTCGTCAGAGGACCGTTCACTGAGTGATACGCACCAACACTTCACGCGTACACAACTACAAGGTGTGTACCACCGTCAAACATAGCGTTACAAACGCTACTTTGCACCAATAGTGATGGTTAACAGAGTAGGGCCCTAAAGAGCTTTGCACCCACTATTTCAACTGTTATAGGGAGTGATTTTCTGTCCAATTATCATGAACTTAACATGTTTAAAAATCGGCAGTAAAGCGCGTGCAATCGATTATGTAGCATGCCCAATAGTATTGCAAGCTGTGTGTTTTGTGTTAAGAAAGACTTCCGGAGTCAAAGAAACCCAAATCAACAGAATCTTCACTCGTGAAATACTGAACTGATGCAATATTTCCATACAAAGAAGTTTGGGTTACTGTGCACGCTACAGTGTACCGCCTCCATCAACTGCCTGTCAAGCTCCTTATTTATTTGCTCGGTGTTCCTTAACTCCTTGTCGAATCATTCGCCCTTCGATTTGTAGAAAATTAGGCTCAGCCTAAATCTGTGCTCTTAGTTAGTATACGCCAGAGCAGTGTCAAAAAGTGGCATCCGCCATCACAAGTTGACACGTTTCTTACCGCTTTGCTGACGGGATCTTGGTGAACGAGCTGGGTAAAAGTTTCAAGCCCTGAAAACACGATACAAACAACTTGTAATAACATCTGTCAAATGTTTTGCACAATGCGCTTCAAAAGTCTGAGGCATTCCATCACTCACCACGCAAAGCGCCCCAAATGGTTTGAGCTGTCAGCGTGGCATCTCCCTGCTCAGGTATGTTGAGGGTGTCTTCAAAGAGAAAAAAAAACAAACACCGTTACGTGTCGAGTTGTGCAGATAGCCCTGTACCATGGGCAATAAACATTACGGCATATTGGACTATATTGTGTTAGAAGTACTATCTGCGTCAAGTGAAACCTGTACAGCAGCAAGCTTCCGTTATGGTACAGTGTGCGCCGTCCCCTTATCACCATGAACAGGGCACGAATATATGCGCAGAGCTACCGAAGAGGATGCACGGCGCGCACTATACCATCGCGAAGGCTTGCCACTGTTCGGATTTCATTTGACGCAGATAGTACATGCGATACAACGCTTCTCCATAGCAGTTCAACATTTTTAGGGGCGAAGCTCCTTATAGCAGCACCCGTTCGTCCCTCGTAGTCGTAGTAGTAGTGTGTAACCAGTCTTAGATTTTGACCTCCAAGGTGGTGCTGGTGGGAAATTTCTTCTGTGCGTTGTTGAACAATAACAAATTCGCAGCGTGCACGTTAACTAAAAGCCGAATTCTCTAGTTTCTCATTCCCCTTTAGCAGCCATTGGCATGTGCATTAAGCACTATCTGACAAGAAACGTTATACTCGCTGGGCGTAGCCTCCTTGGTTTTATAAAGGTTAAGCGAGCGTTGGGCCTCAGTGCCATGAATACAGTGAACTAGTATATACCATGAAATCGAGGTGGTTAAAGGTGGGAAGTAGACACGAAGCGCAAGCCGTAAGAAAGTGTGCTTGTGCCTCCTCTCGTTGAGTCCTTGGAATGTCCGCTAGATGGCGGTGCTTCTATATGAGGAATATATGATGAAAAGATGTGAGATGGTGGTACTTGGAGTGTTGAATAGGTGGACGAATGTCACAAACGCAGGGACGGATGCACAGATCAACGTGTGGACACACAAACAGATGCACGCACGGACGGGCGGATGGACGCACGGACGGCCACACAGACGCGCGCATGGATGGACGGACGGAAGCAAGAACGAGTGGACGGACGGATGCTTCGCCCCACTCTCGATCATTCACTCCGTGGATATGCTGCCATTTTTTTTTTGTTTAACCCCGCCGCGGTGTCTAGTGGCTAAGGTACTCGGCTGCTGACCCGCAGGTCGCGGGATCGAATCCCGGCTGCAACAGCTGCATTTTCAACGGAAGCGGAAACGTTGTAGGCCCGTGTGCTCAGATTCGGGTACACGTTAAAGAACCCCCAAGTGGTCGAAATTTTCCTCCACTACGGCGTCTACGTCTACATGGGTGAGAACGGTCCCGGGATGGTGTGCTTGTTTAGCCGAAGATCCGTGCTCCCTCACTGTGCTTTCGTCACATATAACTCATAAGACTGAGCACGTTCCGACTGACAAAACACGCCCGCATCAACGAGGCGTGTTCATCGAAAGCTAAACAGGCACACATTCTAACGTTGTCACCTGTGCTGAGCACGCCTGCATGCTTGTAAGGACGCGCATGCTCCTGTGCAAGCGACGTAACAACACGCAACGGCCGCAAGGTGTCGCGGCGCAAAGTAAAGCAGGCCGCTCGCGCGCTATACACAGACGTGGCCGCAGCTGTACAAAAGTTTACAGACCTTGCCACGGAACAGGAGCGAGGAACAAGGGAGGGCGACTGATAGGGGAAAAAAAAGCGGCTTCATATTAGTGATGACAAGCCTGAAGACAGCGCGGAGCAGAGCAGCCTTCTTTCTTTCTCGTCTGTTTCCGCTTTTTTTCTCTCCTTATATTTCTGGCTCGGTTCCTCTATTTTTTAAGTTTTTATACGTGATTTGTTTACGTTATGGCAAGCGACGACGACAGCATACAACAGTCCCAAAAGCGCTCCGCAAGTAAGAATAAGATAAACTTTACTGTCTCTCTACAGAGACTGCGAATAAACGCATGTAGTAATAGTAATAGTACTTTATTTGCAGTGAGCACAGCACAGAACTTACTGCAGGGGTCGACAAACGTGTCAGCTGATAGCAATGCGTAAATAAGTTTACGGATGATGTTCTAGCAACGATCAACGGTATCTACAGCCCTACAAACGTATAGGTGTTTCCAGCGTTGTGCTTGCATGACGAAGAAATCACAGTAAGTTTTTTTTTTTTTTTGCTTCTGTTGTATATATTTCGCAGATTCCCGCCGAAGGTATGAACCGAAATTTCTCGACGTAAACGACATCGCAAGCTCTGTCTTTACAATAATGTTTATTACTTCATCATAAACTGCACTGATCGGCTCCGTCTGCATTACTGAAAAGAGCTTCGCAATTATTGTGCACGTTGCTTGCCACATCGGCCCGTTTCTCAGTGCTGTGTCCCGCTCATTTCGATCAGTATGATGAAAGTACCTCGCAATGTTATTGGAATTTTCGTTTTGGTTAATTCCGAGACAACGGCTCATACAACGGTCGCTTTATTATGTTATGTCCTGCGTTGCTGCGCGCGAGCTGTACAATGTAATCGCCCTTTCAGAGTCAATGTGATATGCTCATGAATCATGAAAGAATAGAACGTCGTTCATTATTTTTTGTTACTTTCTCTCTTCCTAAAAAAAATAGGAAATGCTTCACGTTTTCCTTTCTCGCACAAAAAAAAGCACAAAAAGCGATTATAGTTGAACAACGCACGTGTGCACATGTGGCATCGAAAACGTCATTCTTCCCTCTGCGAGGACGGCCGGACTGAATTCAATTTTTCCAACTATTTAACGCAACGTGATACAATTGTAGTTTATACGCAATCTAATACAATTAAAATGATGCCGTCAGCGCTGAAAGTCTTCATGATAAGCATCCATTATTTTTAAAAAGCACCGATATATCGTTTTTATTGGCTTTTGTGGCATAAAGCGTCGTTCTTATTTCTCTTATTTATAACCTGACAAAGCACCACTACTTTCTTCCGTTGCATTACAGCGCTATAGTGTATGTGATTCTAATTATTATTTCCGACTAATATCCTTACGCCAAAGATACAACTCACGCAGTCAGTGAGGAGAAACATTTACGAGATGCAGTAAAAAATCAGAACATTCCCCGAGCTTTAGATCGCAGCCAAAATTTCAAACCTGCTTCGCATATAAGGATATGGTGATTTTTTAACTGTTAGCCGTACAAATAGAAAAGGGTGGCAGTAATCTACTCTTTCTCCCGAACCTAGATGCAGCCAGCTTTTGATAACTTCTTCAACAACATACTGTCAAATAGAATAGATTTTCGTAACTATCACGCAGACTCTGCGGTCTTCTATATACGATAAAATTTAGCGTTAGACACTACCTGGCTCATTACCGAAATAGAGTTTTGGAGCTGCGTGGAAATATGAGCTCAAGTTCTGTTAGCTGTCCCCCCAGCACAGCTTTAATGTCAACTCGGTTGTCGACCGGCGGCACAGGACATCATTCTAAAACGAGTTCGGCTCGCAGAGTGAGAAAACACGCGTGATGCCGGAAGCCATGTCGGACCTGAGACGCGTCCTGCTGTAAACGCTGCGTAAGAGTGCTGGATACGGCATTTGCCCGAGCGTGGACTATAGAAAAGTGACAGTGAGGGGCCAGAATGGAACTTCAGGAACTGACACAGAGATCCACCCTACTAGAGTGCAAATCTGACTCGGAGGAAAGAATGGGACAAGGTTTTCAAGCAAAGCAGTCACAACTTATGCTGTGACTGCTCAGCACGGACCGACTAGGCTATAATGAAACCTTGAAGGATATGGCGCCGGGACACTGAAGAGACACACACGAACTGGTGCAATCTAACGACTGGTTTATTTTTTGAAAACGTTCACCTAATAATCCTCATATCCGCTAAATCTGGTAAAAAAACATTTTAAATGCGCACGTGGCACAAATTTTGATCCTAGTAAGTGAACGCTATCACTATCAACTTATCAAGTGAACGTATTCAAAAAATAAACCAGTTGTTAGATGCCACCCGTCTGTGCGTCGCTTCTGTATACCCGTGTACCTGTGCAAATACTTCGAGGTGAATATGCTCGAGCTAGGCTAAATTGCAGTTTTGCTATAATGAAACTTCAGCGTACATATTCGAGACTAGTGCAGTGTGCCTCGTCTGTTTCCCTGTGTCCATCCCGTCAATTAAAGTTCATTACGAATGCGCAACAACTCGCCTAATCATATGTCTTAACAACGGGACAGAGGAATAGTACAGAAGCAAAGGCAGGGAGGTTGACGAGCATAGGACATCCGGTTTAGTACCCGACACACGGGAACAGGAGGGGGCAGATTGAAAGGTGGAGAGGAAAAAGAGAGAAATACAGCAGATAACCTAGCACACACAGTGGTTCAGTTCTAACAAACGATTTCAAAACTATCGGTCGCTTACCATTTTCAAATTATGAGCAAATTATTTTATATAGAAAGGCACCGCTAGTTTCATGGCAGATCGACCATGGCGGGTTGCGCCAGGATAAAAAAGGCAATCAATCAATCAATCAGTCTTGTGTGGTACACGACATTCCTGTCACAGCCGCCTGACAAAGTCAGTTCCTTTTAAAACCGAAGTAGTGCATTCATCGCGATCAAATGAAATGTCTTCGGTCGAGGACATGTAAGAATGATCTCAACAGACATTGGCCTATTGCCAACCTTAACAAGTTTTACGACTAGTCAACCAGCATCGTTCCACACGAGCCTTTATCAGTGCACGCACGCTTAATACGTACATTTTTCGTCACTCTTGTGCTGGGGGTATCCGCAGTGTTCCGGTCCCTCGTAGTTGGAAATCCGGACCTTGAGAGCCGGCAGGACTCCGTGGTCGACGACGGCCGACATGAACTCTCCTGCGGTTGTTCCTCTTCGGGTGTCGCCGAGGAAGGCAAGCTTGCGGTACCGGACCAGAGCTTTCGCCACCACGTCGCACGATTCGGCAGCCGCAGAACTCAACGCGAAAGTTTCCGGGTCCAGGCTGCGCTGTAGCGGCCACGACTGCCATCGCTGTGGTGCTGGCCACGGAGACCCCGGAGGAGCCCGTTTGCCCTGGGTGCGAAGAAACGGCGTTTCGAGGAAGTGAAAACGACAGTTGTCATGATGTGCCAACGTGTGACAACCCGTGTGTCACTCCGGGAGTCATTCGTAAGCAGCACGACTGGTGACATGTGGCACGTTGAGTATCGCATGCCAAACATATTCGATATGGTTGTTTGGTCATCCCGGGCAGATAAAAACGCCGAAGGAAGTTGAGCATAAGTGTCACATATGCGGCAGGTATGCATTTTAGAACATGTAGACGTCCCTTCACTTCTCACGTTGATTGATTAATAGATATGTGGGGTTTAACGTCCCAAAACCACCATATGATCATGAGAGACGCCGCAGTGGAGGACTCCGGAAATTTCGACCACCTGGAGTTTTTAACGTGCACTCAAATCTGAGCACACGGGTCTACAGCATTTCCGCCTCTATCGAAAATGCAGCCGCCGCAGCCGGGATTCGATCTCGCGACCTGCGGGTCAGCAGCCGAGTACCGTAGCCAACAGACCACCGCGGCGGGGCACTTCTCACGGTGTAGAGCGGAGGTACAGGCAGGAGCTTGGGTGTGTGTGCGGCCGCGTACATGTGACATCCGCATGAAACGAAGAGCTTAAACCTGCTTGGTTCTGAATAATATATTATTCTACATGCTCTTGCTGCTTTCATTGTATTTATCATCATGTCGGTCCTATACAAAGCTTCTTAGTAATGACCTTTCCTTCCATTGACTCATAGGTACGTAGTCCGCGCTGCTGCACCACACTGTTGTTCAAAGTCACAGCAAAACATGCCTGAAATACAGCATAATGAACTAACCCTGACGAGGTGGCACACTGTGATTAAAGAGAAAGTGCGAAATAACTTTGTAAACCACCGCAAAGTACTTCAATATCTTCAACCGTTCTTCTACCCCGTATTTTCACTTTTGTTTACGACGCGACAGACGTGGCTTCTCCAACGGGGAGGACCCCACGTAGTAGCATACCTTGTGTGGTTTGACAAATGAATTCAAATCACTGCGTATCAGGCTGTGATCATCACCTAGCGCTGTTTTCAAATGCACAGCAAGACATCGAAAGCACGGTTCAGAAAGAAACACATTGAATACCTATTTCTATTCTCCCACACCACTACAATTACGATACGCGCTACCTGCGATTTCATTTGTTTGTGTTTCTGTCTTCCCATACACTATTCCCAGTTCAGGAATGCAAACCAGATATTGATCTTCCGGTTTACTTCCATGCCTCTAGCTTGACCTTCATCTCTCTTTGTACGAGATAGTAGGTTCGCGTTTATCCATGTGTGTTACACATACATGCATGAGTAGCTGACCTGAAAGACCACGCCAAAGCTTACTTCCCTGCACAAAGCATATTTTTAAGGAGAAGCCATCTTACCCCCTTTTTTTTATACATTTCCGTTCGGGTCGTGCGTGCGTGCGTGAATTATAGCGTGTAATTCTTGGTGATGTGCATATAGTACTCATGCGCTATCCAGATGCTACCATTTCATCATGGACGCTATACTTGTTGCATCATAGTGCAAGAAAAGACGATGAAGGAGCAGTAACCGCAATGTGCAGAAAAAAAAAATCTCCATTGCTTTTTTAGCTACTACATAGTGTGACTGACTTTCAGGCAAGGAGATCACACCGGTACTCCCTCATCGACTCGATTATCTTTCCAGAGCATTTCAGCCCATTACCTACATTACCTTGTATGGCAAAAGTTGAGGTGCGTACAGTGCTGGCTTGTAATAAAACGTGCCTGATTACAACTGCGGTGTGTTGTCAACAACGCACATGTGGCGGCGACGAGGTTCCCGGCTTGAGATAGCTCATTCTTCTTTCGATTGGCTTAGAACGTCGTATAGGATTTGTCCGTTTTAATTGTTCCTTCTCCTCGCTGGCGATCCCGAAACAGGTATCGCTAACCTAAGAAAGAAGGCGTGAGAATACATGCATGGACATTTTTCTTGAAACGCAACATACGTAACACGATTAAATGTATTTCACATAATGGCATTTCAGATCAGTAGACATTCATATGTTCACGTGTTTCAAATTTGCAATGGAGTGTTCGGCGAGGCTGCGAGTTACCCGTTGTTAGTGTCTACAGCGTTGGCTGAAAGAGAAAACATCCACTAGTTATTTAAATAACTATATATCAATTAGATCGAAAGTTCGTGATCTGAAAGACTTTAGCTTCTTCCATATATAAGGTTCTTGTGTTCCACGACCAGCTCAGCCAAAATTTTGCGTTTCGCTTTTATTGCAATCTATATCTTTTCACATAACATCCTGCTTAAAAGCCAGACATTGTAATTACAATAGAACACGGCCTGCAGAGGGAACCTGAGCTAATATCAGACAGTAACCGTACCGGAAGTGGTATGCAACGCTTTCCTGAGCTATAATAGAATACATGGGCTAGGTGGATATCATTTACGGGGGGGGGGTGGGGTATCCCACCCCTAGCTTGTCTGCACTCGACATGCAGACAAGCTTTGCGGGCGGCGGAGAGGGTGAAGCGAGAAAGAAGTGTGTTGCGAGCGGGCGGAGGAGCCGGTAGCTGCGGGTGAGGGAGAGAGTGACGTCAGCCAGCACCTGCGAGGGAAGCGTGCGAGGGGAGCCTGGCGTCAACACGCAGATGCGGCATGACCTACTTGGCACTGCTACAACACCTGCGGCAAGGCGAACGCGTTGCGGCACGTTCGTGCGGATGCATGTACGTGCGGCGTTATGCCTAGTTCACACTGAAACATCCGCTTTCTTTAGCGACCGAAATTCCCCTGCCGCTGAAGCGCAGCGTCGTTCGCACTGGACGCGCCCCGTGCCGCCGAATATGCCATCTACCACGGGGCGAACGCGGGATGGATGCGCTGTCACCCGGTTGTTGTCCCGGCTCGCGAACGCTACTACGCTATCCGGTGGTGTATACTTCGACGATTCTCGTACGCAAGAAGAAAGAAAAGACAGTACTGCTTACTTTGCTGGCAAGTGGCTGTCTTGTAATGCACGAAGAGCGGAAAAACCACCAACGCCAGCGGCGTTGGTGGGTTCGTTTTGCTCTGCAAGACCGCAACAAGCTTGGTCACGACAACAGCAAGCTTGGTCACATCTTTCACGAAATACGGAGGCGAAGCAGGCACAGAGTAGGTTAAACTCCCGTTGGTTTCAACATTCAGTTACGTGCACTGCGGCATAACAAGGGAGTAGGGCTTGGCCGCCATTTTTCAAAATTCCTTGACTATTGGTCCGCGGCATAACAAGGGAGTAGGGCTTGGCCGCCATTTTTCAAAATTCCGGTCCTATTGGTCCGCGGTGACCGATTCGGCGGTAGACGCCGCAAAAATCGGTCCGAGAGCGATCGCCGCGGAGAGGGCCCTTTCGGCGGATCTCGCCGCCGCCGAACCGGATTCGGAGCACTTTCGGCGGCCGGAATGCTCAGTGTGAACGCGGCCTTAGACACGCGAGTCAAAGAGCTTCTTCGCATTTAAAAAAAAGTGTTGCAGGACTAGTTTAAGAAACTCAGACACGCAGGTTCTCGCTCTCAGCAGACAAACTTGAAATGCAACCTCAACGTGATTAAACATTGCGCCATATGCAGCGTCCTCTCTATGAAGGCAAACTTGAAAGGCAACCTCAAGCGTGATTGAACGTTCTACCACGCACGGCGCTTTCCCCCACAAATGCGACGTGCAAAACTCCCTCACGCTCAGATGTTTCACTCGCCAGACTTTTTCATTTCTCTTCTTTCTTACCCAGAATATATTTCCACGCGATACATAGTTTCGGCTAAAATTGCTGGCGTTCGTCATATTGCCGACAGAGACCGGCATGCGAGTGATACTCCTGAAAGAACGCGATTAAAGGTAATTACGGCGTGACGCCCTCACGGGACGCCGCCGGCGCAGCGCAACTCGTTAGCGAGCAATGTCGGTAACCGAGCATCTGGTCCTGTTTCTGCGGTCTGTGTGACGATGTGCCGGTCGGCAAGCTGGCGAGGGCACGAGGCGTCAGCCATCGTCGAGCAGCCAAACAATGCAACTTCCTCAAGTCCGCTTGGTCAAATATCGCTTTGCAATAAAATTATTACTCTGCGAATTCAGACAAGGCCGAACGCGACGTGTTGCTCCTCCAGTCTGCGAAAGTCAGTGAGCGATTCAGCATGCGAAAGTCATAGTCGGTTACAGCCGACCATGACTTTCGCATACAAGCTCCGCTCCAAGAACTGTGGCTAGCCTGCCATTCATCACTGCATGAAAGCCGTGCTCAGTGGATGGCGTTGTAACAATAAGTACTTATTCACTCCCAACGTAAACAGTACGCATATTATCAAAAAAAAAAGTTTGTCGTGTCTACCTAACCAAATAATGCGCTTCCCCGAGCAGTAATGACAGGATTCTCGCTGAAATTTGCCAGGAACTTCAAGATTTTCGATCGAAAACCAGCGGCACGAATATGTTTCTGCATAACAAGACCTTCAACCTTGAATACGTGTGCTGTGTTCGATGTCATCGAAATGAGCATATACAACTGGATGGGACACCTACGCATTTTTCCTCTTTGTGTGACAGTGACGACTGAAGGCAGCGCTTACATTTGGTCTCACGCTACAACTGACTTTCGCTTTCACGGCGACCAACTGGCTACAGCATATGTAACAAAGCACGGCAAGTGAAAATGCAGTTTTTCGAGTCTCATTTCACCACGATGCATCCTACTGTGGTATTCATAAAGCGTGAGTATGATAATGTGGCCTCGTTCACCATTGCAGCCTTGTTTTCCTTTGATTGCTTGTTGTTTTATTCTTTCGGCAGTACACGAAACATCACGCGTTTAAAAACTTGCAAAACGACCAGTGCGTACGTGCAGCGAAAGTTGCGGAAAGACTGACCTCGCACGCACACTCCCCTCGCATCTTCCTCCCCCCTTAATTTCGTCTTTCATATCTTGCGTAGCGGCAGGCCATATGCCAGAAGTCTCAACCTTCTCTTTCCTGGAATTTCTCACATCGAAATTTCAGGATACAATTTCCAAAAGTTATGACTGCAGGTGAGCCCTAGATCTTTTCTAAAGCCCGTGAATCAGGTTCACCGAATTTAATAAGAATCTTTTTTTGTTCTTTCGTAATTTTCCGATATTTTTTCATTAGAATTTCGAATTCAGCAATACTACACAAATGTGAAAACAGGAAGGCTAGAACATGCATCGTCCACCATGAGAGCGTCTACATCAACCGATACTTGCGAGTATTGCTTACACATCTGTACGACTCGCTCTCTTATCCGACTATAAACGTAATATACGAAGACGCGGAGAGTAGGGTTACAAGTTCACTGTACTTCATCGCGCCTCATTAACCATTTCCATACTTCCTGACGATGAGCACCATGTCTGCTTAGTTTTTAGTCGTAGAGGAAATTCTCGTTCCTCGAACTCCGATACCAAGTTGCTTTAACTGACCGTAGCTCAAAAGCACGAAGAATGGTAATTATGAACGAGTGAGAAAAATATAGCAAGAAATTATTTATATCTATAGCCGCGAAATCGACCGCTCTATATACTAGCGTCTGCGTTGGGAACAAACGCTCATCGAAAGCATGCACGAATCAAGTTCCCGGCGGTAACATTAGACGAAGCGAGAGCCGCGCGCTCACCCCTTTCAACACTCACCGGAAGCGGCAGGCGGACTTCGATGTAGGTTATGAAAGCGTAGGCCAATATCACCGGTGCCAAAAGGAGCCCGATCTTGAGCAGCGAGGAAGTCATGACGTCCTTTCGTCCGCAGTCCTCCTCACTCTGTTACGAGCTCGAAACGCGTACGTTTCAAAACGCGGTACGAATACAATAAAGATAATAAGAATAATGAAAAACTCGTCGAGGTCGTCACAGCCGTTGCAGCAGGAGCAGCAACGAAAAGCAGCCTGTCCGATCGCTGAACAGCTGACCGTCTGCCGCTCGGCGCTGCAGAACGCAGACACGCTATAGAGTCGGTTCGCGCGCCTGTATATCGCTCGGGCGACCGAGTTCCCGAGTTGTCGTTGGGTGCCGGCTTGACCAATGTGTCCTGGATGGACGGTCGGTCGGTAGCAACTGACTGTCGCCGATTGTAAACCAGTTTCGACTCCTGGCGGCACACGACCTCCCCGAGTTCCTGCGGGCAATCCGACGAGGCAAGTCGGAACGACTCGGCTTGCGGCGGTGCAAGGCGCGCTGCAGCGCCGAGCAAAGCTGCGAGTGATGACCGGAAAAAAAAAAAACACTTTCTTCTTAGCAGAGTCGACTGCATCGTGATGAAAGAAACGAACAAGAACTGCGACACCAGAACACACGACTAGTGGAGAAGTGAGAGAGAGAGAGAGAGAGAGAGAGATAAACGAAGGCGGATAGGAAAGGAGTTTTAACAAGCGTCTAAAAAAAAACAAAAAAAAAACGTGCAGGGTGAGGAGCAGATACGTATGTGGGAGTCACGAGTTCTTTGCGCGCGGCAGGCGACTGTTAAAGAAGGCCAATCCGGGACTACGAAAATGTCTACAGAGCAAAGTTGCATCGGAGTATCGCGAAACGCCAGAAGATAACGCGGCTCGAGCGGTTGCGGTGTTACGAAATGTAACCCCCCCCCCCCCTTCCTCTCCGCACCACTGCTCGCTCAATTGACGAGCGGAAAAAAGTTAGAGAGAGAGGTGAAGGAACTGCGGAGTAGGCGATGAATTAATAAACCAGTGGTACTCGAAATGAACAGTGATCTACGTTTGAATACAAACCCCGATTCTTCGCTGCCGAAATGATTCGTAACAAAGGAAACCTCGCGCCTATAGTTTATCGCTAAGATAAGCAGTTACATGCAAAGGGTATGCGTGTATCGACACTTTTATTGATAAGTGAAAAGGTAAAAAAGCAGAAACATATCATCCCTGTTGATAATAATAGTCATGATATCTGGTGTTTAACGATCCCAACACCACGACATTATGAGAGACGTTGTAGTGCAGGGCTCCGAAAATTTCGACCACCTGGTGTTGTTTAACGTGCGCTGACACCGCACAGTAGACGGGCCTCTACATCCATTTTCACCGCCATCGAAATGCGACCAGCGTGGCAGGGATCGAACGCGCGACCTTCGGATGAGCAGCCACGCACAGTAACCGCCACACCACCGCTGCGAACAAACCTGTCGAGCAGCCCACGTGTCTTCAACAAGTACAATACCTTGCTCAAACACCCCTGTGCGAAAGCACGGCTGCATTCGCTCAAGGCCAGCGAGAATGGAAGCAAGCTCATCAGGAGCCTTACGAGCCACGTATCGGAAGGCAATATTGCACTTAGTATATAAGAGATGCTGCCAGGCTAGTTGCCGAGTTTGTTCGTACTTAATGCGGTATGAAGGAGCGCTAAAGAAACGGGGGAAGCAAGCACGAGACACACAGGACAGGATCTCATAGTTTATAGACACGCAGGACCGTCTGGGGCACATGTCCTGTGTGTCAGCTGCTTGCTTCCCCGTTCACTTACTTTCTTTGTTGATTGATTTGTGGAGTTTAACGTCCCAAAACCACTATATGATTATGAGAGACGCCGTAGTGGAGGGCTCCGAAAATTTCGACCACCTGGGGTTCTTTAAAGTGCACCCAAATCTGAGTACACGGGCCTACAACATTTCCGCCTCCATCGGAAATGCAGCCGCCACAGCCACTTGGTTCCTTTGTTGCGCACGAAATATTGCACAAGTAGCTTATGTATGGTATTATCACATCTGTTGTCATCCTTATATTGGAAAGAAATATTGCACTTAGTAAGAGATGATTCTATAGGCTAGTTGCCGAATCTGTTCATACTTGGTGCGGAATAAAGGAACACTAAAGCAACGGGGGAAGTAAGCACGAGACACACAGGACAGGCTCTCATAGTTTATAGACACACAGGACCGTTTGGCGCGCATGTCCTGTGTGTCAGCTGCTTGCTTCCCCATTCACTTAGAGATCCTTTGTTGAACACGAGATATTGCACAAGTAGCTTATGTATGGTATTATCGCAACTGTTGTGATCCTTAGCACGTCCTCTAACGCTTTAGACGGCAAGCGCCATTACTTCACCCGGGACCGCATTCCGTGAATCCCTGGTCTGCAGCAATGTCTCCGAACAAAGTCAGTCCATATACTTGTTCAAGGAGTCGCGCTGCTGACCTCAAAGATGTGGGTTCTATTACCGGAGCACATTTCAACCGGAGTGAAATACATGGACAACACGGGTACTTAGCTTTAAGAACACGTTGAAGGAACCTCGAGTGGTTTTAAAGTTAATTTGAAGTCCACCACTGCGGCGTGCCTCAGAATCATATCGTGTTTTTCACACCTGGAACCACAAAAATTATCATCACATTGTCCAATAGCTATGTACGTTGCATAACGGCAATCGACCCCATATACTGAAACGTTCTGTATGACATTCCGATAATTCCATACGTTTTTTTGCAGAATCCTTGTTCACATGCTTCTCATGTGTCTTGGGGAATTACGCACAGTGAACGTCTCAGAGTTAACCCAAACGCGCGCGAGCGCCTACTGCGACCACATCTGTAACGTCTAGCAGATTTTCTTAAACAGCTGTTTTTTTTTACTAACAGTATCGATGAACGTTATTTATTTTTTGTAGAAGATCTATACAGCTCCACATTTAAATGTATTCCTGCATGCAGGTTCTCTAATTGCCTTTCTTACATCACTGCGCTTACAGTGCAAGCAACTTAGGCCAACTATATCTGTCGGATGCGCGGAGCTCAGCTGAAGCTGTTAACCGTCGCACTCATTGTACCTGTCCTAGCGTTGTATAATGCGATAAGTACTAATGATAAGTCTTCACCCAAAGGTCATGCTTTAACAGCCTTACGAAGATCCCGGATCTATGCCAGAAGCCATGAAGGAGCACTGCTGACCGGATAACGGGGGAGACATCGATGTATAAAGGGCATTCAGAAGGGGACTAATGCGCATAAGGCGAACAGACAGGCAGACAGCGTAGACGAACCTCATGACGAACGGTAACGGCATGCACAATAACCGAGTGGGCCGTCGATGTACTTAAACTTATCGTCATGCACTTGAATGGGTCTAACAATCCAAGCTGAACCAGCATGGACATTAACTATCTGTTAAACTTAATTTAACAACCATGCTAACAAATTTCGTCTTCTTGCCACACGTACATCGCTTTCCTTTTTCACAGGGAACATTTATCAATCATTGCTGTCACAAACTTACCAGTGGCGCAGGATGCACGAACTTTAGTTATCGAATGCTTAGCGTTTTGAGCGACATGCACAGTCACGTCCAAGCTTAATTGAAATAGCAACCTGATAAAGGGAAGGTGCATAACTAAGGATTTTTCATCTATATTGTTAAAACGTCACTAATATAATGCATTAGGCACATAAATTTAAAAAATAAAGAAATATTCTCCAGGCCCTTACCCCAAATCCCAGCAAGAATTGATGGCAGAAAACAAATTGTGCATTCATTTCGACAGGGAACCGTATGCTGTACGTATGCACATGGTATACTTTATGCCAGATATGTATATCAATCGACAACATATGTCTGCGCTCGCGGATATTTCGTCATTTTGGTGCTGCTCATTTTCCTCGACAATGGGTTGCTCGATCAATAAGGTGAATTCTTGACATCTGATTCTGGTGATGTTCGACTCGTCATGGCAGCCACGACAGGCGACAATATTGTCAATTTCGATGATTTCTTCAACATGTCAGCTCTGGTAAATTGGACAGGTACCTTCGAAGACTCTGATTGACTTGAGGCGGTGTACGTTTGAGTGTCTCAAAGAGCATTTCAGATACACAGTGCTGCTTAGAAAAATCACTATAGAGCGCACTGTGATGCTATGCTGTATGAAGTTAATGCACATGCAACTTTTACAGGGGCGCATACACAATAAATCTAATGGTGTCTGCGAGAGCTGTAAAATGGTAGTTAAACTATTATGAGAGCTGTGAGTAATACGAAGCCCCCCCTCCCCAGTTTGTGCTTCAAAAAGTGTTTGCTCGGAAACTAGGAAACGGTCGACCAGATACTGACCATCGTTTGGTGTGAACGAGCGTGGCTTCGTGGTTCCTTCTAGTAATTTTCGTACGGAACTCCCCATACCCTGGAACCACTGTCGCGCATATTGTATTAATCTGTAGTGTGTTCCGTGGCTATGAATCCAGGGTGGCGTGCACTTTAGTATACGATGACACTGTGTGGTCGTAGAAGTAGCCGAAGGAGTGGTCATTGGCTGGCGGTCAGCCAAATCACCGCCATGAAAGCCGGAAAGGTTTCGAGCAGGAACTCGGAGCGTGGGTTATCGGACGAACCGGTTGCACAGGCGAAGGTTTAATGTCCGGCGAGCGAATTTCAACCCTAGAAGATAAGAAGCAATTCTCTGGCACCGACTCCCGGCACTAATATGCGAGTAGAATTGCATGGCTCTAGACTAGTTCTGCAGGCGATACACAAGCAGCAACGGCAGAGTAACGCGATGCCAGTGACACAAACAGGAGAACTGGTTTTTTACGTCTATACTGCGAGAGCTTGCAGTGGTGGAAGCGTGCGTGCATATGTGTGCGTGTGTATGTGAGGAAGAGGGGGGCGGGGAGTCTGCTGTGTTTATTACGCTCAGGGACGTATCACTGTATACTGCTTTTGAGAGATAATTCGTCCTTGCGCACGATGTGCAACTCTTGAACGAATTGAAGCAAAGCAGGGAGATGGCTTTCTTATTCATTCCTTCAGAAAAAAAAACAATAGTAAATAGTGTATTCAAAAGCAACAAGCAGCGAAGAAAAAAGAAATACGACAATGTGACTAACAATGAAATTGATGGAAACAATGATATTCGTATGTGAAAGATTCTTTTTCTTTGCTTTTAGCCCATTTGATTGCGTCTCGCGTTGACAACTCAAACGCACATATTCTTTCTTGTTGAGACATCAGTTTCCAAACGTGGTTATTTTGGCGCTTTGTTGAGTAGTCTAGTGGTTTAAACGAGTTGATACCTATCCACTGTGTATCACGTAGCCCGAATAGCTTTTGGACGTAAACCAGCCTACAATTCGCAATAACCTGCCTTTATTTCTTTTGTCTTGTCCGAATGCTAAAGTACGGGCACCAGAGGCTATCACAACATCACACAATCAATTTTCTAACTTCCGTAGTCTGTATGTGTAATTGTTGCGGATAACAGCGACTGGCTAGGCTAGCAACTAAAGTCACGCCCA